AAGTTCAAACTGAAATCGCCTACTGCGACGTGGATGTTGAATGGTAAAGTGGCAGGAATGGCATCAAAGTTTGAAAATGGTTTGCGCTATTTTACTATCCGCAACGCCGGTCATATGGTGCCCACTCAAAAGCCAGTTGAAGCACTGGCAATTTTTAAAGATTTGCTAAATATTGAAAAAATTGCATAAATTTTGTTCAATTACATTACTTTTTTGTTAATTGTCAGCAATTAAAATTATATTTTTTAACACAAGTTTTGTTTTTTACAAGTTTAAGTTGTACATTTCAACAATTATGTGGGGAATTTGATGAAAATCAATTTCTTGATGAAGTTTACGTTCGTTCTCTTTCAATGTTTCCATTGTAGAAACTAATTTTACTAAATTAAAATATTTTTTGTCAGCAGTTAACAAATTATTATATTTTGATTCAAGGTATAGTCGTAAAAGTTTTGAGTAAAATGAGTGCTGATAACTAAAAAATAAAATTGTTTTTAATAAGTTTTATTTCAAAACAATTATATTTACCATAAAAATTCCGGGTTGTTTATTCCTTTGCGGTGATTAAATAACAATGTTGCGCATAGCTTAAAAATAAGTTAATACTTTTTATAAGGAAAATGTATTACTCTATATTTACCAGATCTCTAATAATCATATCATTTTCAATTTCATTGTAAATTTTTTCTGCAATATTTAAATTATAATTAATTGCTTGAGTGTTATTTAGTTCTTTACTAGTTTCCATATCAATAAAGATGCAATTTTTCAACGAATCATCCTTAAAATAAATTATTAGTTATACCTTATAAGTTTTTAAATTTTTGAAAGAATACTTACAGAAAATATTGCAAACCCTTTTTCTTGTTTTTGAAAATTTACACTAAATCTTATTGCTAATATTTCAAAACAAAAAGATTTAAACACAATTAGTTGGTCGTGATCGCTCAATTGGTTGTAAGCAGGAATAGTTTTACAAAATGAACAAATCCATTTAAAATATATTTCTGGAATATTCACGAATTCAATAGCACTTTTTGCATGCCTAATATGTGAAGCCGTTTTTTCATCAACAAATACACTCATAGCTGTTTGAACTTCAGCAATTTTCATTTGCTCAAATTGATTTAGTTTTCGAGCAAACCGCTTTTTGAATAACTTATTTTGATGTTCATAATTATCATTTTTGGTTTCAATTTGTTCAATTTTATAAAAACTTTCAATAATTGTTGAGTTTAAAAATGAATTAAGTAATGATTCAATTTCTTTGTTTTTGTTGTCAAGTTTTTCTAAAGGGACCATTCCTTCAGAGTAACATTTTTTTAAACGACAAGCTGAGCATTTTTTTCGCAGTTTAAGATTTAAAGAGCAGTTTGATAGTTGACTACATTTCACACTCTAAAAACAACAAGGTAAATATTTTTGAAATAAAGTATAAACACAAGTTTTTACCTTTATTTGAAAACAGTTTCGATGGAAAAACAATTTACATGATTCACATGAAAGAACTTGATAATGAAATCCTGTTGCTGTGTCTCCACAAATGCGACATTTTTTCAATAAATTCATAATTTTAGAATTAGCATTTGTTTTTATTTTATGTTTAAAATAAACATTGTCTGTTTAGCAACAAACGGGCAATGCTTTAGGCAAAATGTGAAACTCATAACATTAAAACAGTAAGTCAACTGTTTGTGTACAGTAAGAGATTTGTATGTTGTTGAAAATGTTTAAGCAACAGGTACATTTTTTCAATACAATTGTCAATTGCAACTGTCAGTAAATTTCTAGCAATAAAGTATACAGAGTGGATCAAAAGTTCTGTCACCACTTTTTCAAACTGCGATATCTCTATAAAAATAAAAGTGTTTATTAAAACAAAAAATACTTTTAATAAAAGAAACTCTTTGACTTATTTAATGAAAAAACAAATTTTGTTTTAATAAATTATAATCAATTGCTTTTTTAGAACAATTTGTTTGCGTTTTGATTAATTTAAAGTTTTAATTTGTTTTTGACATTGAAAACATATTGTTAGGTTTATTGCCATTTACAACTTTTAATAAATTTTAAAATATTACTTATTTATTAAATAGATTAGTTTTATTTATGAAAACCATAAGTACATTAATTCCGTTAATCAGCAATAAAATTAAATTGGGTTGAACTTAAAAAAGCTTAATAATTTTTATTGGTTAGTATTTAACATAAAAATTGTGTATATAAAGTTCTTTTTTTCTTATTTTATCAATTTTACACTAAATTAAAAATGAAATTTTTGTATTTTTTAGTTGTTTTTATTTTTATATCAGCACGAGGTAAAAAATATTATAAACAACTTTTATTAATTGTATTTTTTGCACAACAGATGTGTTTGGTGGATCGGTTACTTATGATGGAATCGGCACATACAACTCTTTTGATTTTTATAACGTTCTTGTGAGGCCAACAACACTAGCATTTCTGCCTCAAGATCCGTCTGAAATTGGACCGCAATTTCTTCTGTTCACCCGAACAAATGAAGCATTCAAAAGTGCGCAAAAGCTACCCTTTAATGACACCTCTAGCATAAAAAGTAGTCATTTCAACAGTTCAGTGGCGACGCGAATTCTCATTCACGGCTGGCACAATGAAGTGACGCCCTCTCTGTGGACTGAAGATATGAAGAACAAACTGCTCGCCTATGAAGACGTGAATGTCATCGTCGTTGACTGGGCAAAGGGCGCCTCCAAACTGTACGGTCAGTCAGTAGTGAACGCCCGACTAGTCGGCGACATGGTAGGCATTCAGGTGGGAGCTCTCTCTGCGGAAACGGGTGCCATTTTAGGCTCAATTCAAATAATCGGCCACTCTTTGGGGGCTCATGTGGCAAGCTATGCTGGAAAACGACTCAAAGGAAACGTTGGCCGTATCACAGGACTTGACCCGGCAAAGCCATTTTTTGAAGGACTAGGCACAGAGGCGAGACTTGCTCTGACTGATGCCCAATTTGTGGATGTCATTCACACTGACGCCAGCGTGCAAGGTTTCATTTCAGCAATTGGACATGTGGATTTTTACGTTAATGGAGGAGCCATACAGCCCGGTTGTCAGGACTTGGGAGATATTTTACAAGGGTAAGTTTGGGTTTCAGAAAATTATCAGATTTTATTAATTTTGTCTGTTAACTATAGTGATTTTAATCCAACTGGCTGTAATCACGAAAGATCACATCAACTTTATGCTGCTGCAATAAGTGATAAAGTAACTCCAATTGCTCATCAATGCAACAGTTACTTGTTGTACATTTTAAATGAATGTAACAGTTGTGGGACCAGTGGTGAGAAATGCTCAATACTAGGACCTAGAGCAATTGAATCTAAAGGCGTTATTATGACGCCAAAAAAACATTATTTTATAAAATCATCAGGAGAAACACCTTATTTTAACAGCACAGTAATTGAAACAGTAAAAAACTGATTTATTAAAAATATTCTTACAACTAATTTTTAGCAATATTACTTTTTAGCGCACACAATTTAAAATGAATAAACACAAATAAAAACTAACATCTAAACTTTTTTGTTTTTTAATTTTTTTACAAAGTTTTCAAACAATTGCAAAATCATTAGTGTTTTTATTAACATTTACATTTACGGTTAACGCATTTACAAACATTTAAATCTATCCCTGACTGCGACCTCTCATTCAGGGGTTTTTGGGTAGATTTCGGCATGCTGACCACAGTTGCAGCTTGCAAAATATGTACATTGGAAAAAAGGCTAGTCCTTTTTGGTAGGCCTCTTTGCAAGGGAAAGTTGTGTTAACCGTTAATGTATGTGTGCGTATGTGTAATTGTTAAGTTGTTGATGACGTGAATTTTCGTTTTCACACTTATCATGTTATTCAAAAAATCAAATTTTTAAAAAAAAAGTTTAGCTTGGGTTTAACACGTTTTGTTTTATAGTTTTTAAACACAAGTTTTATTTTAAAATAATTTTTGAAACATTGTGTTAAAACATTTGCTCGTTTGACATTAAAACTGAAAATTTTTTATTTTTAAAACACTAACTATTCAAAAACAATTGTTTTAAAATTAAATTATAAAATAAGTTTACATTCACAAAAAAACAATTATTTGAGTTATGTTTGTTGCTATGTAAAAAATAATTATGAAACATAAATTTAAAAATGTAACAAATTTAACTATTAATCAACTTAACAATAAATCATTTACATAATTTATTGTTTAATTTATTATGCAAAATAAAAGTTTATTAAAGGGTTTATTATATCAGTTTTATGTAATAGTTTTTAAAGCGAAAAAATGAATGTACATTTACTTAACTTTAAGATGTAAGAAATTTACATGTTTAAATGTTTTATTGATGTCAATAGTAGTTTTTTTGCACTTGAAAAACTTAAATAATCTTTTAAAGCTTAGAAATGACATAATTAAATATGCTAACCGTTTACCTTTTTTTAGTTATTTGAAAAAGTATAAAAACGTTAAAAACAAGTGACAATTAGTTTTACGTTTTAAAAACTACAAAAAAACAAAAAATGACAAAAATATGTATTTTGTTTTTTATAATTGTTGTTTTTGTAACAAGTAATATATAAAACTTTTGTATTTAAAGCATTCTAATTCTTTTTTGTTAGAAACGACATCTTTGGAGCTATTTCCTGGTCTTGATAGTTTTAATTCTCTGGATTTTATAAACCCACTATTAGTTGTTGTTCCTCCTCAATCACCCGACATAATTGGTCCAAACTGGCTTCTTTTTACAAAATCGAATCAAGATGTTGCACAAAAACTTCAATATAACAATATTTCAAATTTAAAAGAATCAAATCTTAAAAACAATGTTCCGACAATGTTTTTAATATTTGGCTGGACAAATACTGTAACAAAAGACAACTGGACAACTAAAATGAAAAACAAAATACTTCAAAACCAAGACGCTAATGTCATTATTGTAGACTGGGCAAAAGGAGCATCTGGTACTTATTTTCAAGCAATGGTAAACACTCGCGTTATTGGCGCCATGGTCGCTGCCCAAATTGAAAGCATTCAAAAAGCAAAAAACATAACATTAGAGTCAATTCAAATTATTGGACATTCTCTTGGGGCTCATGTTTCTGGATTTGCTGGCAAACGACTTGACAGTTTAGGCCGAATTACAGGACTAGATCCTGCCGGTCCACTTTGGAATATTTTGCCAACAAATATGCGCCTTTGGAAAACCGATGCTCTGTTTGTAGATGCCGTCCACACATCATCATTTGCTGAAGGCATGGTCCAGGCAGTTGGGCAAATTGATTTTTACGTCAACGGAGGTGTCGAGCAACCAGGTTGTTTAAGTGACAACTTGAAAGAGTATGTTTTGTTTCTAGTTTTTCAATAACTTTTAACCAAATGTGCTGTTTAATAGGATTTTTAACTCTTTTTCTTGCAATCACAACCGAGCACCTTTTCTTTATATTGATGCAATCAGTAATGATGTGGCTCCAATTGCGTATCAATGTGAAGCATATTTTTTATACAAACTAAAACTTTGCAATAATTGTGAAAATGGTGAAAAATGTGCCATTTTTGGACCTAGAGCAATTGAATCTAAAGGTTCAAATTCTGGACAACACTACTTTTTAGACTCAAACAAAGAAGAACCTTTTTTTAATTTAAATTAAAATTGTTTTAAATCAATTAATAAATTGTTTTAAAAAACATGTTGCATTTTTTTATTGTCAAAAAACTGCACTAAAAGTGCAAAAAAAATATTTTTTTAAATATTAAACTGAATTTATAAAAACTCAACTATTTGTTGAAATTTGCCTAAAAAAACTTAAAAGTTCAATTTGTGAACAAACAGTATTTACAGATGAATGAATTTTTTTGCTTCAGTGATTTTCTAATTGCAAGCTATAAATAAATTGTGCTTTTGCAGTATTAAAATAGTTAAAAATTTTCAAAAATATTTAAAAGTAAAAAATATTAATTTTGTTGTAATAAATAACTAATATTTTAAAAATGAATTTATTATTTTTGTTCATAATTTGTAAGTTTTATTTTAAACCAATTTTATTTTAATATATTTTTATTATTGTAGATATAAACATAATTAACTTTGTTATTGCTGAAAAACTTTTAACATCAGATGCAGATTTTATTTTACGACAAACAAATTTACTTTTCCGACTAAAAGAACTTCTTGACAATTCTAATTTAAAAGATCAAAATCACAAAAAAATAATTTACAATTACACAGGAAATTTCTATTACAAAAACAGCTCAAATTTAGATAGTTTTCTTCAAGAACTAAACATTGGCTACCTTCGTAAACTTGGAACATATCAATCAACACCTAAAATATCTATTAAAAAAGAATCGTCAATTTTTTACAACATTTACATTGTTGACACTGATACAACATTTATTGATGCTCCATTTTCTTTTCAAAACGGAATAAAATTTTTTTACAGCCGACTAGACAACAATCAAGATGTGAATAGTGTTGTGGATATTGTTGACAATGAATGGAAACAAACAGTTTATGACGAACCTATTATAACAATAACATGGACATTTACAAAAAATGATTTAAAAATAACAACATCTGCAAATGAAGTTACGATGACAAGATTTTACAGTAAAAAAGTAAACAAAGTTGAAGATGTTGTATCTGTAAAAAACGTTTTTGATGTTCTCAAAGATGCGTTGTTTTGGCACTAAAATTTAAAAAACATTGTATTTATATTTTTTTATGAATGGCAATGTTTCAAAAGTTAATAAAATAAATTTTTATTAAAAAGTGCATTTAATTATACTGTTAAAGAAAATTAGTTAATGAAAAAATACTTAATTGTATTTTGAGAATTTCATTAAAAAAATTAAGAAATTTTTGTACGTAAATTTTAAATTATAAAATGAACAAATTGCTTAATTATAAAAAATAAAAAAGTACACAGTCAATAATTGAAACATTGCAAATTTAAAATGTTTAATATTTTAAACAGTTTATAGAAAGATATAAGTTAATTATTTTTACCAGAGTATTGATTTTTGTTTAAAATAATTTTTAAAACACATTTTTATTTTTACTATACAACAAATAATTAAAACTAATATTTACAACATTTGTATCAAAGTTAAAACAAATTATTGTTACAAATTGAAAATTTTAAAAACATTTATATTTTTGATTATTAAACGTTTAATAATTACTTCAAGTTTTTTGTTATAAAAAAACTACCAGATAAATAAAATGACAAATTATTTTGTTTTTTCTTATGTTTTTAGCTATTTTGATCCACAAACTGTATCCACACTTTTTATAAATACTCGTTTTCGACAACTTGATCATCTACCTTTTTTTGATATGTTAACTGTTTCAAACTTTATTTGGCTAAAAAATCAAATTAAACTATCATTTTCAAAACCGTTTTTAATGACATCATTTTGTAAATCTTTTTCGTGTATCCTTTGTTTGATTGAGTTCACATCGTTATTTACTGTTATAATTATGATAATAAGAGTTTTTGTCATTTTAATTTGCCGAAACCTAAACAAAAATTACGTTTCTTTTTTGGGATCAATTTTTGAACTAGTCGGAGCAAATCGGATACATTCTGAACTTGCCGTTTTGCATTATTCTTTATTTGCTTTATCTACAATTGTTTTAATTTTTCTTAACTCAAACACTTCATCATTTTTTCAAATTATTATAATATTTTGCAATCAATTTTTATGTTCAATAAAAACTAATGAAACTAATTTACCAAAATTAAATCACTATTATTTAAACAACTCACTGGTTTTGTTTCCATTATCTGAAAAAAATGGAAAATTTTTAGCTAAATATGGAAAATGGTACCTCCGTTTTCAACCATTTATCAGTGTTTCAATGGCAATAAATGTATCGTTAACAGCATTAATGATTTTTTTAGTTTCAAACCCAAAAGACAATAGTTTAATTTATTTTGGTTCTTTGATATTTTACTGGCTTCATTCTGTTGGCGTTATTTTTATGTGGTCAAGTTGGACTTTTTGGGTGTCTTTTAACATCTATTACATTTTTGTTTATTATTTGTTTTGCGCAAAAATACTTCAGTTTAAACATTGCAAAGAATATAAAAGTTTGTCTAAACTGGCAACAGATTTTAAACAAATTTATCGAGTTGGGTAAATACGCAATGTACAAAGTTGTGATAATACTAATTATTTTTAGTATATACGCATCAATTTTTAATAAATTTTGTTTATAATAATGTTTTTCATAGCGATACGTATATTTCAGCTATTTTAATGACGCATCTTATTCGAGAAAACCGAGTTTTTAATGAAATACAACTTTTGAACCGTTTTTGGAGACTTTATTTAAGTTACACAAATATTATTTGTTCTTCGCTTTTTTGTTTCACTCTTTACATAAGCAGTATGACAAATGCAATGTGGTTTATGAAATTGTTTTTTATCAGCGTCAGTTTTCCTCCAATTGGAATGCTTGTGATTGGCACTTGGTGTGGTGCCCGTTCATACGAGGCATCCATGAAAATATACCATTGTCATTCTATTCTTCTTTGCCAATACTCAACAATTAGTTTTAAAGTACAACTAAAAGTAAATCGTTTGCAAAATAACAAATTTGTTTTATTTATTGCATTTTAAATTAATAGGTTTTAAATACGCTAAACCTTATTTGCGGTCAATTTGTGGGTTATACGTATGTTACTGGAAAAACTATTAAAAATGAAACAATATATCAGGTAAAAATTAAAATAATAACAACTGTCGTTATTTATAGCATTTATTTATTTTTTTAAATTTACACAGGCACTTATTTCAACAATGATGCTATTTTTTCTTATTGCAAATGTTACAAGAGCTTAAAAACAGTAAAATACATTTTGCTAAAAAATTTTTAAATAAAAATAAAACAATTATTAAATTAAAACGTTTTTGAAAAAGTAATTGTCAAAAGTAATTTTATTTATCAATTTAACTGATAACTAAATATTTTTGATAAACAAAAGTAGAAATTATTTTTAGACAACGATTATGGCAACTTAAATCTAACAAACATGTTTCTAAAATCTTACTGTGCGTTATATTACTAGTCATGCAATGCATATATACTTTTTTAGTTTTAACAATAACAACATTTGTTTTCATAAACTCTTTTACTATTGCAAAAGGTAAAAAATTGTTATTTAGCAGTTTTGTAAAACCACTAATGTAACAGATTTAAACGTTGTACAATTTAAATTAGCAGTAAACAACAAGTTGAAAAATACAAAAAATGAAAATTGGTTTTTATCAAAATTGTCATTTAATCGTCAATCAATTTACAATTATTATCAAAACTCAGAAACAACTTGTAAAAAAGTTGACTATTGTTTACTTAAAAATAAATCATCAAAAACAAACAAAAAAATTTGTGACAATTTAGGATTAAATTGTATTTCTAATGAGAACACTGACACATTTGAATGCATTTGTGATAAAAACAACACACGCTGGGACGTTCTTAGTAACAACTGTTTACCACAGAAAATTGAGTGCAAAATTAACGAATCATTTAAAGTCGTTGAGGGTAAACCAGGATGTTATTGCAACAATGGATATTTAAAACAAAACAATACTTGTGTTGAGCATGATCCATGCAACAATGATCGTCAACTTTCTCCATGCAAAGATATAAATGCAAAATGCAATAAAATTGGTTTGCAAAAAACTGATTTTCAGTGTAAATGCACAAAGAATTATTACAATGTATTTGAAAACAAAAATAGTTTGGCTAAATGTTTGCCAATTCAATGCAAACACTGTGAACAAACATGCAAATTAGACATTGAAAAAAAAGTTATAATTGTGATTGCATAGATAAAACTAAATACAAGTTAGAAAAAGATAAATGCATTTTGAAACAAGGTGTATCTGATATTAAATGCAGAGGAAACCAAACAGAACAATGGATAAACAAAGGTTACCCCACCCCTTTTCTCACTGGCTCTAGTTGCGCTTGTCCACAAAATTTTTATTTTGACAACCAAAGAAAAGTTTGCGAAATTCAATCACAAGTTGACTTTGTGTTTGGTTGTTCAAAAGTTGAATTAAAATCAGATAAATTACCAGGTTGCGTTTGTTTACTAGGACAAAAATTTGATTTTTTAACCAGAAAATGTCTTATGCAATGTGATGAAAAAAGTGAAAAATTTTGTCAAGAACGAGAAGGCCAATGTGTTGTGTCAACAAGTAAAGTTAAGTGTCAATGCAAACCTGGTTTTGCAGCTTTTAGTGCTGATTTGAAAAACGCAGAAAATTTTATTTGTTTAAATAAATGCATGCTGTTTAATAGACCGGAGTTAACGCAATACAAATGTTACAAAATGTTTAGTCAATGTGACCCCACTAAAGTAACATATTCAGGCCCACTTAAAGAAATTTTTATTTTTAACATTTCTAAAATAACCTCGGCTCAAATTGATCATTGTAAATGCGAGATTGGTTTTCAATTTGACAAACTGTCACAAGAATGTGTGCCATCACTTGACCCAGTTCAATACATAAAAGACATGGATTTTCTTCTGGATTCTTCAATGATATCTCAATCAAAAAAAAGATTGCATACTGAAACCATCATTAAACAAGCTTTTATTTCACTTATTATTACGCTTTTTGAGAAGATAAATTTAGAATCGGTTAAATGTCAACCATCAGGTGATAAAGCAATTTGTACTGCTGCAATATACACAAAAATGACAATTAAAAAAGTTAAAATGAAATTAGAAAATGCTTGTCAGTTTTTAAGCAAAACTAACATGTGCTATTATATGACAAAACAATCTAATTTTACAAAAAATTTGGTTTTTGAGTCTGTTCTTAAAAGAACAAAAAATGAAGTTTTTATTGAACCAATAAATGTAAGTATTTTTTATTTTTTCAAACTTTTTTAACTAAACAAATTAAATTTAATGTTTTGTTTAACAGTATTGTTCTAATCAAAACCGTTGTAGTTTTGCAACTTACTCTAATTGTCAAACAAAAATTATAAATTCAATTGAACTTTTTGAATGTATTTGCAATTCAACCATTTTCACTGTGACTTCTCAAACAAACATTAGACTTTTTAATCAAAAAGACAGTTTACGAATGCAAAATTGTCAACTTAAAGATCTTTGTAACGAAGACAAAGTAAACTACGGTTGTGAAGATCAGTCTGCTACTTGTCATTTGACTGCTGAAATGAGACGCAACCAGTACATTGCAAAATCTTTTTGCAGTTGTCCATCAACAGGCCTTGTGCTTCCTGATCAAAAAAGAAAATGCGCAAACTCATGTGATAGATATTGTTTACACGGAAACTGTACAACAGACATTTTATCGGGAACAATGATATGTCAATGCCAAAACGGATTTAGTGGGCCCAGATGCAATTTTACTGTACAAGAAATTCAAACAAACAAAAAAGTTTCTAAAGGATATAAGATAGCAACAATTATATTTTTGGTGATAATTTCCTTAACATTGATTTGTGTTATTTTTGGTCTAGTTAAAAAGTAAGTTTAAAGTTATTTGTTGTGAACTTAATTTTTATATATAATTTTTAGACACACTAAATTTAATTTTAAAATGATTCAAGAAATGATTCAAACAAGTGAAAAACAAAAAAATACAAATCATTCAAATCATCAACAATCTGATTTTTCAATGCAAGAATTATAATTTGTTAAAAATCTTATCAACTTTACAGTAAAAATTAAAGTTTTTTATAACAAAACAATTTCATTTGCAAATCACAATTTCATTTGCAAATCCAAATTTTATTGCAGTATCAAAGTTGAGATATTTATGTGAATAACATTGTATAAAATTAAATGCCTATTATTTGTTGTCAAAATATTCATTTGAAATAGTTTAAAAGATTTTAACTTAATTCAAATGAAACAATAAAACAAGTGTTAATATTTTAACCAATTAGTTTTAGTATAAAAGAAGCAGAATGTTAACATCAAATATCATTCACTTTAAATTTAATCATTTTAACAGCAATCAAACTATTACAACTATGAAAATAATCAACATTTTTATTTTCATTTGTGCCTTTTTGGTCGCATCCAGTTTGGCCGCTCCTAGCAAACTACCTCTTCCCTTGTCTGTGCAGCTGAGCCATTCTCAGTTGATAAGCGGACCAACTTTGGGCAACCTCTCCGATGCTCGCATAGTGGGCGGTGTTTTGGCTACCGAAGGAGAAGTCCCCCACCAGATAGCTCTTTTGCGGAACGGCGGCATGTGGTGCGGAGGGTCGCTCATTGGCCCTCGAACAGTTCTCACAGCAGGTAAAATAAAACGACTGTTTTGCCTTTTGCTTCGATTGTACAACACAGCAGTAAAATACCTCTTTCTCCTCCCCAGCCCATTGCGTGTTTGGCTCTGAGAGTCGGCCATCCATTTTCAAGGTTCGCTACTCAACCCTGGACAACACAAAAGGTTTTGATTTGGCAGTCAGCAAAATAAGCCGTCACCCAAACTACTCCTCTGCCACTGTTGACTACGACCTGGCCATTCTCACTTTGGAGGCGCCTTTCACGCCCAGCACCACCGCCGCTGTGATAGCGCTCGCCGAGAAGACGCCCTCTGAGGGCACACTGATCACGGTGACTGGATGGGGACGACTGGCTGCCGGCGGCGCCTACCCCACAAAGCTCCAGAAAGCCGACACTCTGAAGGTGATGAGTCGAGCGGAGTGCGCCAGCATTTGGGTTCCACTCGGGGCTAGCATCACCGAGCAGATGTTCTGTGCCATCTCCAAGACACAGTCGTCCTGCAATGCTGACTCAGGTGGGCCGGCAACGCACAACGGCCTTCTGCTTGGAGCGGTCTCCTGGGGGTCGTCCAGTTGTCTGCACGCCACTCATCCTAATGTTTACGCTGATGTGGCTAGCCTTCGCGAATGGATTGTTGATCAAATTCTCTAATAAGCTTTTTCAACTTTTTAATACTAACAAATATTGTGCCCTCTTAAGATAACTTAGTAAATTTTAATTTTTGCTGATTCTAAAACAAATCTGGTAAATTATTTTTGGTAAAAAACAAAATTAGAACAGAATTTTGTAAAGTTGTTTTGTTGCAAAGACAAAAAATAACTGATAACAATGATAAGAGATTTCAATGAAACATTTTTTGAAAAAATGATAAAAACGGTTTACTGAAAAACATTTATTAACAAAACTAATTTAGGTCGAATAAATAAGGTCAATGTTAAGTAATACAGGGTGAGTTTTGCGTATATTTGCCGTTTTGTACAACAATGTGTTATAACCAACTTATAACTGAAAAATAAACATTAAATGTTCACATTGGTTTTTTAATACAAAAAATATTTGTTTTTTAATTAAATTTTGTCAATTTAATAAAAAATTAAACAATTTTGTATAAAACATCTTTTACTTTTTATCTTATTTGATAAACACAATCGCAAACTTATTCGTTATCAATTAATGGAAAAATACAATCATAAATGACAAGTGTGCAATTTTCAATAATTTTGATTACATGTTGCATAGTTTCTAGCTCATTTTCGGAAATTCATGCTAATTTTTGTAAATAAAAAAGGTTAAAAATTTAAAACTAAATTTACAATGGCCTTTGCAAGGCCGTTGTTTCTTCTTCTGTTTTTCAAAACGTTTGTTTTGATTAACTGCAGTTCCTCAACTAACAAACCCTCAAGCATTGAAATATCTTGCATCGGTAATGTATTTTATAATTTAAATAAACATTAAAGAACTAAATAAACTAAAAATAAAACAAATTTTTTAGAGGATGGCTTTTTTCCTTATCCAAATGACTGTACAAAATATTATCGATGCGTTGGTCAACGTCGTTTTGATTATGATTGTGGAAATGGAACACATTTTAATGCTAGAATTGTTGGTTGCGATCATCCCGAATCAGCTGGATGTCGATTTTCCACTATTCAAAAAGAATCGGAAGTCGAAATTATTACTGACCCATCAGTTTTTGCATCAAAGGGTTTGATCAACACTGAACATGATAAAAGCATCTCTAATCAATACATTGATTGTGTCAATGTCTGCCGTGGTACATTTTATCCGAATTTTGATAAACTTCGTAAAGATCATTTTCAAAAAGCATCTATCATGACAAATTACCACCCGGAAATGGCCCAAATGATTGTAGAGCCTGGATATGTTTACTATCGCAAAAAAGTCATAACTTCTGGCGACAACACCGGCAAATGGGACAATTATGACACTTACGAGAGATTCAATGAAGGCAACTGGCAAACTGAGTTTGGCCAGCCAAATTGGAGTCAACCACAAAAAGCAGATGGTTCAAAAGTATTGGAAGCAGGAACTAATAAAGAAAAAGCAAATCAAAATGTAAAAGATGACAGTGACATTAGCTCTCATTTATTGCAACCAACCACTAACACAAAAGCAGTTAGCAATAACAGAAGAAAAATACTGATTTTTATTAAAACAGATAGTGGATCACCGGCAGCTCAAAACTATACTTTTGAAGAGTTTAATCATGGCATTAACCTAAAATTACTTGAACAACTTGAAATTTGCAATCAATTTAATCAATTGTCTATAAACATGTGTACTTCAAGTTCTTTAAATTGGTTAACAATTCCAGACATTGAACTAAACAAGGCAAAACATAAACATGAAGTTAAATTAAACTCATCAAAGGACGCTTTTAATGATTGTCAATATCACTGCAGAATGTTAAAAAACAACGAAAGCAATGATCAAAGGTTTAAAGTCACATGTGTTGCATTTTCTTACTCGTTAGAATCACGCAAATGTTTATTATACGACCAATTAGAGTTACCGTTAAACTGGCTTAGTGAACTGATTAAAGGTAATAGACCAAAGGGTTTCCGCTCTAAACGGCACACATCAACTGTGATCAAAATTCCGGAGATTTCTTCTTTTGATAATGGAAATTGGATAATTGGTCCTGGCGTTTCAAAAGATTTAATTAAAAAAGAAAAATCAGAAAATTATGTTTTAGTTGAGATCTCAAAAAATAACATTTTTAACTGCTTGGCTGCTTGTTCAAACAGAAATAACTGCCAAAAATTTGCATTTAATTCAAATAATGGAAAGTGTTTTTTTAAAATAAATAAAACAACTCAAAAAGAAGATTCCAGTGAAGAGGATTCGTCAGAAGAAGATGAAAAGGAGACTAAAATCAAAACAATTTTCTGGAAAATGGGATGGTCATCGGGTGAAAATGTTCAACATTTTGTTCAATCAAATTTGGAAAACTTGCAAGTTGTAGAAACTAATGAAGTTGTGAAAACACCGAATAGTGAAAATCAAATTTGGGAACAAGAAGAGATGGTTGCCCCAAATATTTGGAAACCTTTTATTCAAACATCAGCTCAAAACTCAGACAACATTTCAAGTAATATAAATATTTTGTTAAAACTTTATTTATTAAACTAATGNTTTTATTCAAACATCAGCTCAAAACTCAGACAACATTTCAAGTAATATAAATATTTTGTTAAAACTTTATTTATTAAACTAATGTTAACAAAAATGTGTTTTCCGTTTTCTTTTAGATATCACAACAAACATGCAAGTAATGCAAACAGTCATCAAATCAGGCAAAACAGTTTGCTTAGGTATACATTATTTTATTTTTAAACATAATTTAGTACTTAAAAGTATTTTTATTTTTGTTTGCAGAAGAAGGATTATTCCCACACACTTCATTCTGCTCCAAATTTTATGAATGTTCTAGTGGGCAAATTATCACCAAAGATTGTCCACCTGGAACACTATACAGCCCTTTGATTAAAGCTTGTGATTTTCCGGACAAATCTGGCTGCACTGTCAACAAGCTCGGTCAAGTAGAATTTGTTTGGAAAGAAGTAATGGTTGTACATGAAAACAATGAAAATCAACCAAGTGAACACCTTCAAACTGGAACGCAAAACATTGTCAAATCAATCACCACACAGACGATTACTTCAGGAAAAATTATCTGTCTAGAAGAAGGTACATTTCCTCATGCAACTTCTTGTAGCCATTTTTACGTGTGTAACAATAGAAATTTAAGCATTCATCCTTGCGCTCAGAAAAACACAATGTACAATCCACTCACTAAAACTTGTGACATTCCGGAAAAATCTGGTTGTAAAATTGGTTCCAACGGTCAAACTGAATTTGAATGGAAATCTGAAATTGTGATAAATAACTACCATTTCAACGGAGAATACCCTTTAATCAATCACTCAAGAAACTTTACGGAAATCAAAATAATCAATCGCACTTTCAATGAAATGGATCAAAACAATTTGCCTTATTTTGATAGAAAGTTGTCAACAACTATTAAAACCACATGTTCAGGTACAAAAACAAATGTTTAATTTTTAATTATTTTTAAAATTTTACTGTGTTTCCAGAAAATGGACATTTTCCACATCCAACTTCGTGTAGCAAGTTTT